CGGCCGGACGGGAGGCACCCTAAGGGAGGCACTCGGAGCCTGGAAGGTGGTCGGGCGCAGGGAGGTGGGCGGCTCAACGCAGGAGCGCCCCCTACTGGCCCGCCACACCATGTGCCCTAAGGAGCCATGCCAACTCCACGCACCCTAACGAGGCACACCAACCCCATGCACCCTAAGGAGCTGTGCCCACCCCATGTACCCCAAAGAGCGGCACCAACCCCGTGCACCCCAAGGAGCGGCGCTGGTCACGTGCACCCAAGGAGCCAGGACCAGGCAGCACGAGCCTGCCACTCTCTCCCTGCCTGCGCTGCTGGCGCTCCTGCCTGGCGGACAGCCCGGGCAGCTGCAGCAGGTACCCCCGGTCAGTGCTTCCCGCCCGCTGCCCGCCTGCTAATGTCGTGCTCCCCCGGCCTCGATTTCCCCCCTGTGAAATGGGCCCCTCTGCCCCGCAAGGGGGCGGGGCCTGGAGTGTGGGTGGGGGAAGGGGTGGGGCTTGCTGGGCCATGGGGATTGGGCGGGGACGGGGTTTGGTGACCGTTGGGCGGGGGTGTTGACCGTTGGGCAGGGGCGGGGCTTGGCGACCATTGGGCATTAACTGTTGACCATTGTGGGGGCGGGTGGGGCTGGCGGCATGGGGCCGCTGCGCGCGCTGCTGCTGCTGCTGCTGTTGCTGGGGCGGGGTGAGAATTGGGGATAACTTTGGGGACAGGGAATGGGAGTGGAGGGAGGAGCCAGGCTGAGAAATGGGCTCACACAGACTGCTGAATTGAGGTCCGGACACCAGGCCTCCTGTGCCCCCGGACTAGCCGTGCGCGGCAGACGGCAGAGCGACCGCGCGGGACGGAGGCCGTTGCCCAGCTCACGTCCGCTTTAAACTACTCTGCTTTCCCGGCTGACGGCTCTCTCGGTGGTTCCTGCGACTTCAGCTCTCTCTTGCGGAGGCGAGGGTGCAGGGCCGGCAGACGCCAGGGCTGGCCTCGGCACTAACGCACATCGCACATCAGGAAAATGCCCGTGTTGCCCTGAGGCAGCCCCGGGGTCCGGGCTTGGGGCGCGCACGGAGGGATGTGGGGGCGCCGGAGGGCCCGGGCTGAGGAGCCTGGGCAGGAGAGCGCTGGCAGGCGGTCGCGCCGCACAGGCTCGTGCGGTCGAGTCCTGCTCCGTCGACAGGATTCGGAGCCGAGCTGGTCCGAGAGACCAGCGGTGTATACACCTTGTCTCGGGGGCCCGGGGTTGCTGGACGCGGAGGATTCGTCCCAGTCTTGAGCAGACAGGGATGCAGCTCTGTGGTGAAGTCAAGGACGGTGACTTCGGAACAAATCATTGTTAGATGTGTATAATCTGGAAGGACATTTCCCGCGACCACGAAGGCCAGATCCTCCATTGAATCCACTACTCTGTCCTTGCTCATTTTGTGTCTTTATATTTTTTCTAGGTTTTGCTGAGATGTCAAAACTGCTTTACTCTGAAGTAATAGTACCGAAAAAGCTAGAGCCTAGGGGCGGTGCAGACAGCAAGGTAATGTCTCTCTTTTGCTAAAAAGCAGCCGAATGCCCTGCGTCAGTGCAAGGTGTTAATATACGCTCAGGAGATCCCAGGGAGAGGACCATGCGCCCCCTCAATGCACAACCCCACAGGGGAAGGCGAACCCCCCACTGCTCATAACAGCTTGACCGTGGGGGGAAATGTCTTCCCGACCCCAGATGTGGTGACTGATGTGAGTGTGTGCGTGTGCGTGGAGAGGCCAGACCCTCCAGCACCGGCACAGCCCAG